TGGGTGGGTGGACCCAGGCTCCCTTTGCACACGAAGCAGTAACTTCTAAGCCATATCGACTGTTTAGCAGAGGATTTGACTTGTTTTGCAGGGGATTTGCTGCCTTCAGGAGGGGCAGGCCAGCAGGAGGGCTGTGGTGGTCTCCAAAGGGTGGTTCCTCCTGTATTCTTCACAGAGCCTACCCCTCCAGTCTCAGCTCCCAGTAGGGTTCTAAAGAGTGAGCATTGCTCTCATGGAGAATCTTAGATGAGGGCTTCGTGATGGCTGGTGACTGAGCCTTGTGCCTCCAAGCTCTGGTCCAACCTAGTTTCCCTGATGGGCCAGAGTCAGGAGCAGGTATATGACCTGATGAGATTATTTCTGGTGACCTCGAAAAAAAAATTTAAAAATTTCTCAGTGTTCCAGGTGAGGGCTTTGAAAAGCCTTCAAAATAGTTCTGTTGCCCTTAGCAACCCCACCATTGGGCATTGCATGCAGAGAGGAGGCTGGCGGAGAGTGGCCTGTTGCGGTAGCAACTGGCAGCACTGGGGCAGTGAACAGAATAACAGCAACAATGCCTTTGCAGGCAGCCTCCTCCCTGAGCCCTGAGCTGGCCATGGCCATCAGACTCTGAGACGGAGAGCCAATCTCTCAAGTGTTCACCAACCACTGATGTGTTTTTATTTCCTTCTATATGATTTTAAGATGTGTTTTCTGCATTCTGTATAGAAACATACCAAACTAAATAAAAGCAGTGTCTTTATTACAATGCCATTGCTTTTGAGCATCTATTTCCCTGACCTCTTCAGGTTCTGGGCAAGTGATGGGAGAATCATTTGACAGAAAAGGGGACTCAGGCCCAGTAGCCTCCTCAGAAGTTTGATCATCTGTATACTCCTTGGAGGGCTGGGTTTGTGCTTCAGAAGCTTTGCCAACATATAAGGTGCTTTTAGTAGTACCCCTTCTGCCTTTCAGCCAGTTAAGACCAATTTTGATGCTCACTTTCCTCTTTTCAATGAGTGGAGTATTGCAGGGAATCTGATGAAACTGGGCAGGGAGGAGAGAATAGGAAAGGTCCTATCACAGGCTTCCTCTCTAGGAAGGGCTCCTTTAGGCTGAGCCGCTGTGAAGATTGGGATGGAGGGATGCCACTGACCATGGAAGCTTCTTCGTTGATAACCTACATGCTTGGACTGGCCAGCAGTTTTAGTGAACAGTTTCTAGCCTTTGTTCTCTGCTCTTGAGCTAACCTAAGTGTCTAGGCTGGAGTGGGCTGAGCATAACTCAGGAAAGGGCAGGTGTGTTGTCCTGGAACACTGCTTAGCATGTGGTACATGGACATGCAGCAGCTGTGTCTCTAGAGGACCATTGGTAACAAAAACTGGTGCCTCCCTCTTCTGGATTATCTTGCCTCTACCTGCTGTTTATTGTTACTACTCCTCTTACTCCCCCACTCCTGAAAGTCCAGCAATTGCTTGGAGTTAGGACCTAAATGTGTGTAGCATGTTGAAAGTGCCAAGATAAGGGCAGCCTAGGTGCATAACCCCCATCTCAGTGAAACAGGCCAGGCATGGTGGTGTATACCTGTAACTAGTACTTGGGAGGTGGGGGCAGGAAGATCAAGAGTTCAAGGGCAGCCAGGGCTTCGTGAGACCCTGCCTTCAAAACAAAACAAAAAGTTGGAGCTGGAGAGATGGCTAAGTAGTTAAGAGTACTGGCTGCTCTTACAGAGGACCCAGGTTTGGTTCCCAGCACCACATGGCGGCTAACAGCCATCTGTAACTTTAGTTTCGGGGGATCCAACACCCTCTTCTGGCCTCCACAGAGTGCAGGACATTTATATATAAAATGAAAATATATTTTTTTATCTTTTTGAGACAGGGTCTCCCTGTAGTCCCAGCTGACCTGAACTCACTATGTAGACCAGGCTGGCCTTGAGCTCACAGAGATCCGCCTGCTTCTGCCTCCCCAGTGCTGGGACTAAAGGCGTGTGCCACCACACCCTGCTAAAATACATACTTTTAAAGTCAGAAAAGGCTTTCTCTACACGTTTTTGGGGATATGTGCCTCATCTCCTGGGCCTAGCAGTAGGAGCCTAGGAAATGACCCTACAATTACTTTCAACCTCAGGAAGTTCCACTTCATGTCTAACCCACTTGAGTAAAGGATCTCCTGGTCTCAATAAAGAACAGGATGACCACCAGAGCTGGAAGAAAAGCTGCAGACACATCTGCCCACTGTTGTCTCTTCTACATCCTTTGTGGGATGTGAATGCCTGCTATTTGGCCTGGCAGATCTCTGTCCCCCAGCACTCCGTAACCAAATTCCTGTGATCATTCCTTGGAGGTGGGTCTGTCTGCATGTGTTTTGAGCTAGACTGAAGGTAAGAGAAGGGAGGGGCAGACAGAAAGGGACTTAGCAGAATCTGCTGTTCTACCAACCAGGGAAACTTCCTGGATCCTTCTGGCATGGCTTCCCTATCTCTGAGATAAGGATAGCACACAGCTTCAAGAGCCATTATCTCTGGGCTGGTCTCAAGACATAGAGCTGGCTGGAGAGTTTTGTGTGTTTGGGAACCACGGCTAGCCTGGGCTTCCAGAGGTTCCACACTTTTTGTCAAGTTGTAGCATCTAGCCTACGTCTCCATGTCCTTAACAGAACGAGCTCCTTAGGAGTCGTGGAAGGCCTAACTGAAATATCAGCCTTTGAGGATCAAGAGTTTCATTCTGTCTGTGTTACTATTGTCTCCTAAAAACTAGATCAGTCCAGCACAGTGGTGCATGCTTGTAATGATAGTTCTTGTGAAGGGGAGGCAGGAAGAGCAGAAGTTCAAGGACAGCCTTGGCTACATAGGTTTGAGGCCAGCCTGGCTACATGAGACCTTAAGAAACTAAAAAGATGACCAGGTGTGGTGGCACACACCTTTAATCCCAGCTCTCAAACAAAAAACAAAAAAGGGACTGGAGAGATGGCCCACCAGTTAAGAGCACTTTCTGTTTCTTCCAGAGGATCCAAGTATGGTTTCCAGCACCCAAATCTGGTGGCTCACAACTGCCTGTAACTTCAGTTCCTGAGGATCCAGCACTCTTCTGGCCTCTGGGCACCTGCACACATGTGGCATATACTCAACACAGACACATACATACAATAAGTCTTTAAAAAATTAAAAAAGGAAATGGTTATTTACTATTTTCCCTGCTTTACCCACTTCTAGACCACTGTCTTGAGGCACAGTGGCTGAGGGCCACACACAGCCATTGGCCCAGATCTTTAGAATTAGAGTAAGGCAGGTTCAGTTCTAAATGTGACTTAAACAACTAGTTGAGTATTTTTCTAATTACAAAATTTTGTTTACGGACTAGAGAGATGGCTCAGCGATTAAGAGCACTGACTGTTCTTGTAGAGGACCTGGATTTGATTCCCAACATCCACATGGTGGCTAAAAACCATCTGTAATTACAGTTCTAGAGGATCCAACGCCCCCTTCTGGCTTCCAAGAGCATCGCAGGACATGGATGCACTTCCATGCATGCAGGCATAATAGACATAAAAATAAATTGTAGAAGAGCAAGGAATTAAATGAAACTCCTGAGGAATGCTTGGCACCATTTCCTTATGAATACTTTAGAAGATGCAGAGGAAACAGCATAAAATTCAAAGGAAGGTATGTGCATTTTTTGGGAGTGGCACCCTGGGGTAGGAAGCAAAACACCTGGGAATGGAGCCTTGCCAGTTGGGGCAAGTCTAGCCCTACTATATATATACTGGCTCCACATTTGCTCTCAGGTGACTCTTCAGTTTCAGCTGAGACCACGTCTCTATGGATGGGTCTGTGAAGCCCAGGCTGCTAGGCGGGATCAGTGTGAGGGCAGGAGGTTTACTTTCAATCTGTTAGTGGGCTTGTTAGCAGCTATGGGCCAAAAAGAGCAACAGTGCCTGCAGATTTCCAGGAGGTGGCGCTATAGGACTAAGTGGCTAGGGAGAGTGGGAGAGGCGGGGCTAAAGCCGTGAGGTAGGCGGGGCCGAGTCCGGGCGTGGCGCACATTCTCCACTGAGCTTGCGCAGTCAGTAAGGGCGTTTGGGCGAGTGTAGCTGTGGACTCCAAGCCTGTAGTTCACCGCACTGTTCTAAAGAGAAGCCTACAGGGGGAATGGGCGGGGCAAGCTTGGAACCCGGCTGTCCGTTGGCTCCCGCTCCGGAAACGCTGAGTGCTGATGTGTCTATTTCGGAACCTTAAAAAAACCGTCCTTGGCTGGCGAGATGGCTCAGCTGGTTAAGGCGCTTGTACCAAGCCTGACAACCTGAGTTCGATTTCCAGGATCCTATATGGTGAAAGGAGTAAACCGATTTCTGCAAATTGTTCTCTGATCTGCACACACACGCACACACGCACGAACAATTAAGTAAATAAAACACCATTCTTTGTGAACTGCTCTGTCTTAGCTTTCACTTACTTATATCAAGATTTCGTGCCCTGAGGAGTCCAACTTTTGACTTAATTTGTTGAATTCTTAGTCTCTCCTTCCTTCCGCCAAGAGCTCCCTCCTGAGGCAGGGTAACAACCTAATAGGGTACTGTGGGGTCTGGGAGATTCCTGGATGGCTGCTTGATGCCTCAGGTTGTGGTGCTGGGGTTCTCTTAGTCTATATCTCTGGGCAAGGACATGGCACTAGAAGTGGATGGGGAT